GAGAGGAAAGGAGAAAGGAGGGGAAGAGGAGAGGGAGAGAGGGAGAGGGAGAGAGACAGACATATACATAGACAGAAAGAGGGGAAGAGGGAGATTGCTAGACAGATAGATAAACACCCAGATAGAGAGACTAAACGAGGAAGAAGGATAACGACCCTTTAAACGCTCCTAAAAATAGTTTTCTTATTTTTCTTCCACCTGTCTATCCCTCCCGCCCCTCCCCCCCCCTCTCTCTCTCTCTCTCTCTCTCCCCTCCTCCCTCCTTCCCTCCCTCCCTCTCTCTCTCCTCCTCCCTCCTTCCCTCTTTCTTTCTCTATCTCTCTTCTTCCCTCCTTCCCTCCCGCCCTCCCGCTCACTATCTCTGATCACTGATCAATAATCGATGATCTAGAACGTTGCTTGACATAACAGTTTCTCCCTTGTGATGCAATAATCCAGCGCTATCACTTATACCTGATAAACCTGCCAATAAATCAAGGTGAAGAGCTGACATGCCACGACGAGAGCTTTGTGTACGTGTCGCCCGGAAACGGTTGCCATGACGACCAAACAGGCGAGGGACGCGTTTTTCATTAATAACAAGCTTCCCCCTTTTTTAATATCTCTTGTTCTTTCTCTCTGATTTCGAGTTTGATTGGCGTTATTTTTATTTCACTTTTTTATTGTCAAAAGTACTAAAATGATGTTAATAAACTTTGGTGAATTGCAATATGGTTTAACGTAGGACCGAACACATGCAGGTTGTTGATGTACGATGATGTTTGAAAATCCACGGACAACATTACAATGAGAAGTGTGTGCAAAAAAAAAAAAAAAAAAGTATTTGCGTATGTGAACGTTCTCAATCGGTTTCCCTTCCATGATATGACAATGGGGATTTCCATAAAGACATCGTTAATGATTAATTTATTATGATAATGAATGTGGTGATAGTGATAACGAGAGTGATATCATGCTGATAACAGTAATAATGACAATATAAATAGTATTAGTAAGAATGATGATATCAATAATAATAAAAAACATCAACAACTATAATAATATCAAATAATTGTAATAATGAGTGATAATAATAACGATGATAATAACAAAATAATAATGATAAGATGATAATAATATTAATAGTGATAATGATAATAACAATAATAAAGACGAAAACTATATTGATAATTATAATAATTATATAAATAGTTATATGATAATGATGATAATAACAATGATGTCGATGCTGATAAAGATGATGATAATGATAATAATCATACAAATAATGATGATAATATAATGATAATTAGCATAAAGATAATGATATTGATAAACATAGTAATAACAATAATGATAACAGTGATATCAGTACTAACAATAATCATGATAATGGTAATGGTGATAGTAATGATAACAATAATAATGATGAAAATAATAGTGAAAATAGTAATGATAATAATAATAATAATAATGATAATAATAATAGTAACAATAATGATAATAATAATGATAATAATAGCAATAATAATAATAATAATAATAATAATAATAATAATAATAATAATAATAATAATAATAATGATAATAACAATAATAATAATAGTAACGTATACAAGTGGTAATAATGATCAGGATGAAAATAAAAATGATAACAATAATGATTATCATAATGATAATGATAACGGTAATGATAATAACAATAATAACAATACTAATGATAATAACAATAATAATAATGGTGATAATAGCAATGATAATGATGATAAAAACAATAATAATCTAATACCAATACCAATAATGATAATAATGATGATAATGATAATTGCAGTGATAATCATAATTATGATAATTATCATTGTTATTATCGATGCCATTACCGTTATAATCGTGATTATCATTATGATATGATTATTATGATATATTGTCATTTTCATTGACATTGCTTTCATTATTATCATTATGATTATGATTATTTTTATCATGTTATCAACATTATCATTATTTTCATAATTATCATTATCATTATTATTTTCATAATTATCATTATCATTATTATTTTCATAATTATCATTATTTCTATTATCATCTTTATTATTGTTATAATTATCATCATTATGATCATCATTATCTTTATTATCATTATTATTATGGTTATCATTATTATTGCTATAATTATGATCATTATTACCATCATTATCATTATTACCATCATTATCATTATTACAATTATCATTGTCTTTATTATCATTATCACCATTATCATTAACATAATTATTGTTATCATTATCACTATTGCGATTATTACTATTATCATCATTATTATTATCATTATTTTTTTATTTTTATTGTTATTATACTTTATTTTATTATATTTTATCATATTATATTTATTTTATTATATTTTATCATATTATATTTATTTTATTATATTTTATTTTATGTTATTATATGTTATTGTTATTATTATGATCATTAGATTTATTATGTTTCTATTTCGTGCGTACCTCTGGCTTATAAT